TTCCTTTTCAGAAAAGAGAATGAAATCAAACCCCACAGTCTAGTTTAACGAAGAGAAGGACAAGGGGGGACATGATAACAGTATTCCAATATCTCAGGAGCTGCCATAAAGAAGAGGGAATAAAGCTATTTTCCAAAGCACCTGAAGGCAGGACAAGAAGCAACAAATGGAAACTAACCAAGGAGAGAAGCAACCTAGAACTAAGGAGAAACTTCCTGACAATTAGGACAATTAACCAGTGGAACAATCTGCCTCCAGAAGCTGTGAATGTTCCAACACTGGAAGTTTTTAAGAAGAGACTGGACAGCCATTTGTCCGAAATGGTGTAGGGTTTCCTACCTGAGCAGGGGGTTGGACTAGATGACCTCCAAGGTCCCTTCCAACTTTACTACTATTACTATATGACAGGATCCCTCTGTGAAAGCGTATAAATAAATCGAGTGTAAGTTTAAAAAAAAATGATACAGAAAGCCAAAGATAAAGAGCCCAGTTAATTATCCCTATTAGACTTGAAATTAAACGTATTTGGGTAACGCGGCGCAAATCACCAGTGGAGCTATAAACATGAAGCAATTCATTAGGCCGGGAGTTAAAGCCAATGATAATTCAACAGATAAGAAAAGCCAAGTTTTGAAGGTGGCAAAGAGTGAAATTAAAAAAACAACAACAACAAAACAAAAGGCTTTGTGTGGTTTTGTAAGGAATTAGCGACATCCAAATAGCTATCTGGCACTTTTCCAGGCTCAATTTCATCCTTTGCGTTTCCAAATGATCTCTCGTAACCCAAAAGACCTTGTTCTGGGGGTGAGTAAAAGATTGATGGTGGGATGTGAATAAATAAAATAGCCCCTTTTTTCTTCTAATATCTTTCAGTGGCTACAAGTACTAAAATAGCTGCTTCGTGGTTGAAGGGCTGGATAAGGAAAGCTGGAGGTAAATGGTCAAGTTTGGAGGGTTAAAAATTAATTTTAATAGCATCCTGAAGCACCTCCCTAGCAAATCTCCTCTTTCTAGGGGTTGAAAATACCCAGCCCATAACAACAACAACAACAACAACAATAATAATGACTCGATAGGTAGACAAAATGCCAAATCCAGTCTGAACATCTGACTGACTGTGCGATGATCGATAATAATAATAATAATAATGAAGTTGGAAGGGACCTTAAAGGTCATCTAGTCCAACCCCCTGCTCAGGCAGGAAACCCTACACCATTTCGGACAAATGGCTATCCAGTCTCTTCTTAAAAACTTCCAGTGTTGGAGCATCCACCGCTTCTGGAGGCAGGTGGTTCCACTGGTTAATTGTTCTCACTGTCAGGAAGTTTCTCCTTAGTTCTAGGTTGCTTCTCTCCTTGATTAGTTTCCACCCGTTGCTTCTTGTCCTGCCTTCAGGCGCCAATTTTACTCTAGATTTTATTGTTCCTATGGCTATCGTGATGAACTGTGCTGTAAAATGACTAGGTTGCCTCAGAGGACATTACCATCCTGTGATATTTTTTTTTCTGCTCAAATGCAACTCTACTCAAACAGCAAATTTGGATTTGCTCTGCCATCCATAAGTTGATAACGTTTTACAAATAGTTGAATAGGAA